GCCTCTGGAAGTAGATCTTTCTTGTCTCTTCCAGCTTCTGGTAGCCCCAAGTATTCCCTGGCTTATAGATGTACTTCATATAACTGTCCTTCCTCTGGCTCTCTCTGTCTCTTCTCCTCTTTCTGAAGGATGCCACTTAGATGGGATTAGGACACACTTTCTCCAGTGTGATCTGTCCTAGGATGAAATCACCACAAAGTTATAGTAAAGCAAGAAGAAAGATTTTATTCAGCATACGTTCTAAGAGGTAAAAGTGGGAAATGGATAAGCATGTTACCAGAGCCATGTCTGCCAGAGTCTGAGGAATATTACAGAGTAATCAGTATATACTGACATTACAAATGGGTAAAATCATTCAATTTTCACCTTTTTATAGATTGGCTAAAAACTGTTCGATCACCATGACTCTACATTTTGAATTGTCTTTCTTAGTAATTATTGGTACAAATTTCATAGTAACAGTCAGGAGGGTCTTCATTGGTCCAACAAATCTTACTATTTACTAAATGCTAATAGAAAAAGATAAGAGTGGAAAATATGCAGGTCTTTTGTGTTCTAAGTATTTGTTTCTGTGAAAGTTTCCCTAAAAGATGTTTTCCAAGATTGTCCTAGCTATTGTTTTCAACCTCAGGGCCCAGTTGATGTATCTTTGTAAGTCCTTGTGAGTACAGCTCCAGGTGGGTCACTTCTTTATACTCAAGGACAGGGAATAATGGCTCCAATTTTAACTCCTAAGTCAGACCTGATGTTAACTTCCCTAATAACATCCTCAAAGACTATTTCCAAGCAAGGTCACCTTCATAGGTACCTGGGGTTAAGACTTCAACATGTCTTTGCCTCTTTCTCCTCCTGCCCACTTATCTCCTACTGGTGCCTTCTATTAGCTAAATTCAGTTAAATTCAATGGGAAACTAGAGGGTCAGGAAGCCACGTGCATGCAATCACCAGAGGTCACTCCCTGGGACACAGAGCAAAGATGGGAAGGATCAAGGGTGGATCTGGAAGAGAAATGAATGATTTTCATCCAGCACAATAGCATCGTGGTAACATCTTTGGGGCCTTGCTTCATTTCCACCTCCCAAAAAAAAAAAAAAAAAAAAAAAGAAAAAGCCAGGTTTTCCCCTAAACTATTCACTTACGTGTCACTTCGTTTTAGAATGTAATTTATCCCTAAAATTCCCAGTCCCTTTCTTTGTGGGACAGTATTGTTATGAAAATGGGCTTCCCAAAGACACTGCTTAAACTAAACTTCCAGTTAAAGGAAACAATTTAAAGACAGTGACTCCTAGAATATAAGAACACTACAGAGCACATTATAAGAAATAGTGCATTTTACATAGAGTGGGTTTTGGAAAAAAAAATGCTATATTTGGCCATGCCTATACTGAAGAAGAAAGATTCCACTATTTGGTTTTCTTTCTTCTAATAGTGAAGCTTCCTCATATACTGCTACTTTTGGTTAGACAGAATGACTCCTTGGATCAATCAGAGATTAATTCCAGATACCCCGCATATATTTAAAGCTATGGGTTTTAGTAATCCAACAATAACATAATAGCTAACAACATTGAAGATTGCAATAGAGAGAAGGGTATATGTCCTGGAGGATTTTATCTTAACAATAAATAAAGAGATACTCAGGTTTGTCCTGCGTAAACTCTTTTAGATTATTGTAAGGTAGTCATGGCAAGGCACACAAGTAAAACCTCAAGACATTCATTTAGCATTGGAGAATCAGAGTTAATAATTACAATGTTAGTTTAAATGTTAGAGTCCAAATATTTAGACTTCAGGCTTTTACCTTTAACGAGTGGTCTAGGGAAAGAGAGTTGACCACCCCTCAAACTCAGAGGAGATCCTCTGCAGCTAGGGTCTGAGGTCCATTGTGGCTAGCAGTAGCTCACCAGGCTTCAGACACTGTCAGAGAGACCTTCTGCGTCTGTCTTCTTCTCTGAAAATGAGCAGAAATCTGCAGGTTTATATACCCTGTGTGCTGTCATGTCCAACTGTAATTGGTATGTTTTATTGTCAGTTAAAGAATAGTTGTATGACATATTTATAGTTTGTTATTTTATATTATGTTTAATGTCATTTAGGGAATTGTTGTATGACATGTATATTCTCATTTACTACATGTTTCAAGGCCAAGTTAATTCATTAAAAATTATGGGAATTGCTTAGTGACATATTTATGTTTTGTTAATTTATAGAGATTTGATTAATGTTACATTCCATTATCACAGAGTGCAGGTGCACAGACCAATTTCAGAAAGTTATTTATGACCTACTTCACATACTTCTATTATCTTATTTTCAAGGTTAGTACAACTTGCTAGCAACTTACAGTTAATGGTTAGAGAGCATTATAGAAATATGTTTCTAAATCTAATTTTAGAAATTCTCTATTTAGAACTTCACATGTAAGTGACTTATGCACAAGTGTTTAAAAGCATTACAACAGTGTAGAAAGCATTATAGGAGACTTATACATACATGTTTTAATCAGATATGATTTGAGAGCACACAGAAAGCATACATAACAGTATATATGTTATTTAAATAGTTTTTTGGTTTATTTACAGAACAAGATTTAATTTCCTTGAAATGCCATTTGAAAACTGGAGAAGGCATCTCTTAAAGGTTCTCTAATTATAACAAGACAGCTGCTTTCAGGTCTGGTCAATACATCTTCCAAGGAAATGAACTGGCAAGTAAACAAACAAACAAAGTTAACTCTGTCTACTGTATACTCAGAACAAGAAGCACTATCTTGAGTTTCTTTTTGCAAAGTGTACGTTTTACCCCTTTACACTCTCTGCCATGTTAACAAAACAAAGATATGGGGTTGGGGAAGCTGTTTTGGTGGAGAGACAGTATGTTTCTGGCTGGCTTTGGGGGCACGTGTAGGAATCATCAACACATGTTGTCCAGGATCTGCCCATTCCCGTGTTTGCTCCCAGCAAGCAGAGAGCCCAGGGTGTGAGTGTTCTGTTAGAATCAGTACAAGGCAAATATTAAATAAGTAATGTTAATTCAATTCATTGCAGACCTGTTGGAATTTCTGTTCAGGTTATTCCTTTCACCTCTCAGAGAAACACCAGGTATAATACACTCATTTTGGAGCAGGAAGTAAGAGTTTAATTTGCCAGACAGGTGATATGGTCTACTGGATTCAGAATTTGAATATTATTTCTGGCTGCACCACTGGCTTCCCTTCTGACTAAGAGGGAAAGCTCTCTGGGTGCTGCTAGTTTCAGTTATCTATGGATTGAGAAGAAGATCACAAACATGGATGTTATAATAGTTCATTTCATGGGAAATTAGACAAGGCAAGTCTAATGAGAGGAATGGGTTAATTGGTCATTTCCGATTTTGTGCTTTAAGTGGACATCTAATATCTGAGTAAATTAAAAGAGTTTCAGAAAGTGCAGTATCATAGCTGACATTACTGGGCACTAAGAATGTGTCCTGGTAGCACAGTAGTTAAGAACTCAGCTGCTAACCAAAAGGTCAGCAGTTTGAATCTACCAGCTGCTCCTTGGAAACCCTATGGGGCAGTTCTACTCTGTCCTAGAGGGTCACTATGAGTTGGAATCGACTCAGTGGTAATGGGTTTGGTTTGGTTTTGGTCTAAGATGTGCCAGCATGATTCTGAGTGCTGTTCATGTGTTATCTCATTTAGTCCCTACAACAAACCAGGGAGGTCATTCATAATATTGATACAATTTTAAAGTAGAAGAAACTGAAGCACAGAGAGTTGAGTGGTTTGTCTAAGGTCACAAAGCTAGTAAGTGGCAGAGCTGGGATTTGTACCTAGGTTATCTGATTCCAGAACCCCAACTTTTAGCTACACTGCTCCTACCCCATGATAGGTATGATGACCTACAGGAATCAGAGCATATATAAAAATCTAGATATTACAAAAAATAGAATTTTAGAGCACCCTAGGTTGAAGGAGGAAGAGAGAAAATGGGGAAGAAAGTAGGAAATCACTTATGCTAAAGTCTGTGAGGGAGTCCCTGGGTGGTGCAAAGAGTTAATGTGTTTGGCTGCTAAGTGAAAGGTTGGAGGTTCAAGTACACCCAGAGACACCTCTGAAGAAAAGCCTGGTGATCTATTTCTGAAAAATCAGCCACTGAAATCAGCCATGGAGCACAGTTCTACTCTGACATGCATGGGGTGGCCATGAATTGGAAACAACTCCATGGCAATTGGTTTTAAAGTCTGTAAAAATAGGTGAATAGGGACTCTAAACTGTCTAGCTAGAGAAGCTCCGTGGGTTTTAAGCAAAACTCTTTCCTCCAGTTTGAGGACAAAATGTCTCAGTTGCCAGCATTGGCTACAAGGTCATTATGATGCCTTGGGCTGTGTTTAGAACCCTGATCCTGGTTTGTCTTTTGTTTGTTTTGGGGTAGGTTTTGTTTTGTTCTGTTTTTAAGATCTCTGTCCCAGCTGAGTATTATTTCCTTAGATAGGGTGTAACGTTGACCACAGAAGATTTCATTTATTTCTGAATCTGGATGCAATCTATCCAAACTTACTTTTTTCCCACTACTTCACAGCCACCCACCTATCTCAACCTCTTCATCAGACTGCTTGCCAGGTGATATCAATCCAACTACAAGCTTAGTCTCACCACTGGCCTTTTAGTCTGTCTCGTCCCACCTCATGGGCTTGTCCAAGCCCTTTCCTATTTAACATATTTTATTCTTTAAAGCCCAGTTCATGGCCCAACTCTTTTATAAACACTTCTCAACCTACTTTGAATTCTCCCTATCCTGGCCTCTCATTGAGCTTAATTAAGTACTACTCAGGTACCTCTTAGCTTAATTATATAATTTGCATAATTTATATAAGGTGTCTCCTAAGCCAGCTATAGTTCCATAAAAGTCAAGAGTAGCATGATTAATGCTTTAAAAATCATATACCACCCGGCCCAATATAAACATATGAAATTTATTTTTAAAAATGAAGCTTCCAAGTTGTCTGGATGAGCGAAGATGGCGGCCGAGAGGGAACCTCCTCCACTGGGGGACAGGAAGCCCACCGACTTTGAGGAGCTGGAGGACAGAGAGGACCTGTTTGCTAGCACTGTCTCCACCCTGGAGTCAAGTCCCTCATCTCCAGAACCAGCTAGTCTTCCTGCAGAAGATATTAGTACAAATTCCAATGGTCCAAAACCCACAGAAGTTGTGCCAGAAGATTGTCACAACCCCTCACACGGGGCACCATCTGTCGCAGCGGCGACGGTTGTCGGGGCGGCAGAGACTATAACCAATGCCACAACTCTTACAGAGAAGTGGGACCAGGAGGGTCACTCTGAGGAGTCGAACCCAGCTTCAGTCCCAGGAGTTTATTTTGTATTCAATACAGCAAACAGTGAAGCAAATAACAGAACAATGGGCTTTGGGTGAATAACAATAAGTTTCGGGCAAGGGAGGAGGAATTCAGGTAAACAAGCCAATCAGTAACGGGTTTGGAAAAACAAGTCGTGACTAGTCTCAACATGTTGGGGACAAGTCGCAACATGTTGTGCAGCATAGAGGCCTTTATACATCCATATTTTAATGGCACATATCCCCACTTTTCCCCCCTTTTGTTTAGTTAATGGAATAAGAATCAAGAGGATTTTCACTGGTCCAACAAGTGTCCGTTAGGACAAAGTAAAATTTTCTCTATGAGATAAAGTCCAAGATTATCTCAGCTATTGTCTCCACACCTCAGGGCCTGGTGTCTTAGTGACTCCTTGTGAGCCCAGCTACAGCTGGGGCACACTCCATATGTTTAAGGAGGAGAAGTAGCATAGCGATGAGTAACACTTGGACTTAGTTGCCTAGATGGCGGCCATAGCAGGCTCTTTAAACTCACAGTGCTGGTTTTCCACCGGATACCATCTGGTTCTTCACCAGGTTACTAAGTAAGAGCGATGCTCTTATCAATTGCATAGCCGGAGTGAGCAGACTCAATGCGCCTTTTAGGTGTGTATGGCAATAGAGGATGATCTTAAAAAGATATTATAATCCTTTGTACTGACAATACCCTGATTGTTGGACCAATAGGTTTCCTCCGATTCTCATTTTGTAAGTTACACACTATCTTTTAACATTCACTAAGATTATTACTCTTGAAGGCTCAAAGATTTATAAAGGCTCAAATCAAACAAACAATGATTTACATAAATTTACTATCAATTGGAAAGGAATCATCTGACTTGGAAATCTATCTATACAGAACCATCTAACTAGGAGAAGCAGAAAATATAGAGGAATTTACACATAACAAATTTTCATTGGGAACTTACTGATTAACAAATTACTGATTAACAAGATAATATAGGATGACTATTGAGAATAGATTGTCACTAGGGAAACCATAGCTAGAAACAGGTTTTCAGGTGTAAGTGGGGCACCGGTAGTTGAGAGGATATGCTCAGCTTTGGAGGAGAAGCCTTTCAGACCTCCCCATGTTACCAGTATTGCAGATCTCCGTTGTTCAGTGTCCATCCCTGGGGGAAGGGGTGATTTCGGGTCTGATGGCAACCCTTCAGTGTTCATCCCTGGGGGAAGGGCTGCCGGTGTCAGTTGTAGCTCTGGAGTCGGGTCGGATGGCAGCCACCAAAGGGTGGTGGCAGCGGTTCAGAGAAGGGAAGGGGCAGAGGCGCAGGCCAGAGTGTGCCGGCGCGCAGGGGAGCCACAGCGCGGGGCACGTCTGGGACCCCTAGTCACGGCCGGAGCACAGATCCTGCTTTCACCTGCCCGGAGCCTCCAGGTGGGGCCGTCCCGGGCGGTGACGCCCCAGGCGACCGGGCCAGCGAGCCCGGGCAGCAGCAACCCGGGACTGGGCTCAGAGTGCCATGGGAGGGATGGAGCGCGGGCCGCGCCACAGCTGGAGCGGGAATCCAAAGTGGACCTGTGGGAGACAAAACAGCCACATACCGTCGCCCCTAGGTTAATAATTCTACAGGTTCTTGCCAGACGGAGGGATTTTGAAGATCTTTATAGAGGACCTGTGGGCGAGGTCGGGTGTCAGAGGGGATAAAATGTCGTTCTGCAGCAGTACGACCATCTTTAGCAACCGATAAAAAGTTAAAAATAAAGAGAGCTTTGACAAGTCTTTCATCTTGGTCACATACTCTAGACCCATCATCTCCCCCCCCTTTGTTTATTTAAGAGCTGTTTGAGAGTATGATGGGCACGTTCTATTATGGCTTGCCCTTGAGGGTTATAAGGAATGCCAGTGGTATGAAGAATATCCCAAGTGGCGCAAAATTGTTGAAATTTAGCAGAAGTATATGCAGGACCATTATCAGTTTTAAGTGCCTGGGGACACCCCATAGTTGCAATGGCTTGGGTGAAATGACAACAGGCATGAGTAGAACGTTCTCCAGAAAGGGCTGTAGCATAGAGAAACCCAGAATATATTAGCCCAATGAAAGCCTTTACCACAGCGGGGACACTGTGCCTTTAAGAGAGCTAAAACAGCCCGACATTCAGCATTAGCATTTTCACAAGCAAGGTGGAGACAAAGAACTTCAGCTGCTTGTTGATTGTCTACCTGTCGGGAAATGGCAGATTCAATTAAAAGCAGAAGTTGGGTAAGGGCTTCTTCTGACACCTTAAGCTTAGAGGCCTTTAACAATCCCAAAAACTGAGTTTTGTGTTGACGCTGCTCAGGAGAAAAAGAATTCCCCCATAGCGAGGAGGAATAGGAAAATGAAGGAAAGAATGATAGGAAAGTTCCTGGCCTGAAGCCTGAAATCCCTTGGGAGCGGTCAGGAAAGACCTGCTGCTCTGGGGCTAAAGCAGCCTGATCTGAGAGCGTTTGGGAAAATTCCGCCCACGGGAAAACCCCGCCGCTCTCGGGCTGTGCCTTTAAACAGCCTGAAACGGATGTCCGATACTCACCACCTGAAGGGATTGAGTGCGAGGGGTCTACAGTTCCCTCACACGGGGCACCATCTGTCTCAACCCCTCACACGGGGCACCATCTGTCACAGCGGCGACGGTTGTCGGGGCGGCAGAGACTATAACCAATGCCACAACTCTTACAGAGAAGTGGGGCCAGGAGGGTCACTCTGAGGAGTTGAACCCAGCTTCAGTCCCAGGAGTTTATTTTATATTCAATACAGCAAACAGTGAAGCAAATAACAGAACAATGGGCTTTGGGTGAATAACAATAAGTTTCGGGCAAGGGAGGAGGAATTCAGGTAAATAAGCCAATCAGTACTGGGTTTGGAAAAACAAGTCGTGACTAGTCTCGACATGTTGGAGACAAGTCTCAACATGTTGTGCAGCATAGAGGCCTTTATACATCCATATTTTAATGGCACATATCCCCACAAAAGATGACAGAGATTTTTTTGCAGAAGCCACAGAAGAAGTTTCTCTGGACAGTCCAGAAAGGGAACCTATCCTCTCTTCAGAACTTTCTCCTGCAGTCACCCCTGTCATTCCTACGACATTCATTGCACCCAGAATTGAATCAAAGAGTATATCTGCTGCTGTGATCTTTGCTAGATCTGGAGAGGAGATTGAAAAAGAGGCAAATGGAGATATTTTTTATATAGAAATTGGTCTATCAGATCCAGAGAAGGTTGGTGATGGCATGAATGTTTACATGGCATACAGAGTAACAACAAAGACTTCCTTTTCCATGTTCAGTAAGAGTGAATTTTCAGATAAAAGAAGATTCAGTGACTTTCTTGGCTTGCATAGCAAATTAGCAGGCAAGTATTTACATATTGGTTATATTGTGCCACCAGCTCCAGAAAAGACTATAGTAGGCATGACCAAGGTCAAAGTGGGTAAAGAAGATTCATCATCCACTGAATTTGTAGAAAAACGGAGAGCAGCTCTTGAAAGATATCTTCAATGAACAGTGAAACATCCAACTTTACTACAGGATCCTGATTTAAGGCAGTTCTTGGAAAGTTCTGAGCTGCCTAGAGCAGTTTATACACAGGCTCTGAGTGGAGCAGGAATATTGAGGATGGTGAACAAGGCTGCTGACGCTGTCAACAAAATGACAATCAAGATGAATGAATTCGATGCATGGTTTGAAGAAAAGCAGCAGCAATTTGAGAATGTGGATCAGCGACTTAGGAAACTTCATGCCAGTGTTGAAGCTCTGGTCTATCATAGAAAAGAACTTTCAGCCAACACAGCTGCCTTTGCTAAAAGTGCTGCCATGTTAGGTAATTCTGAGGATCATACTGCTTTATCTAGAGCTTTGTCACAGCTTGCAGAGGTTGAGGAGAAGATGGACCAGTTACGTCAAGAACAAGCTTTTGCTGACTTCCATATGTTTTCACAACTACTTAGTGACTACATTCGTCTTATTGCTGCAGTGAAAGGTGTCTTTGACCATTGAATGAAGTGCTGGCAGAAATGGGAAGATGCTCAAATAAGTTTGTGCAAAAAACATTTAACTAAGGCAAAAACGATGGTTGCTCACAAACCAGATAAAATACAGCAAGCTAAAAATGAAATCAGAGAGTGGGAGGACAAAGCACAACAAGGAGAAAGAGATTTTGAACAGATCTCTAAAATGATTCAGAAAGAAGTGGGATGATTTGAGAAAGAACCAGTGAAAGATTTTAAAACTGTTATTATCAAGTACTTAGAATCATTAGTACAAACACAACAACAGCTGATAAAATACTGGGAGGCATTTCTACCTGAAGCCAAAGTGATTGCCTAGCAAGAAGATGATTCCTGTTAAGAAAACCTTGAATGGTTGTTATAATTATGCTGAATTTCACAGTGAAAACATTTAAAACCATCTAAATAAACCGCTATATATTTGATGAATTTAAAAAAAAAAAGTTTCCTTCGTCCTGATTACAAACACAGTATACCCTGGGTGATCTTTATTTTCTTGTTATGTTATTGCGGTGAGGAGCACACCAAAATGGCGTCAATACACCCAAATCCGTCATCCTCACTCCTCCTGTGTGTCTTTCCTCACAGCACTACTCTCATTATCTCAGTGAGAGCCAAAGAGGCAGGTGCAGCTGATTAGGGCTTCCTTCTCCAGCCTTTGTTTTTAACCTCACGTTTTCCCACCCCGTAGAAATTAGCTCTACCCACATCACCCGATCCTACAGGCCTCAAGCTCTATTCCCAGTTCCCAGGAAGATGGCTTTTGGAGTACTTGTAGTGTAAAATGAAAATAAGCTGGTGAGTTTTCCCCAAGTGCATAATTAACCTTGGGCGAAAGCTTGCCCTTAGTCATCTAAGGTCAAGAAAGTAGTGCCCTACGCAAGGAAAAGCAATCCCAGCCGTAAACTGGTCTGTTGTCTCCTCACCCTAATCCCAAACTCAGTGTGCTTGTGGCAAGTGAGACAAACCTGCAATTTCAATCTATATTAAAGGCACAACAGAATTCATTGAAAACTTAAATCTAGGAAAAAAAAAAAAAAAAACCCTGAAGAAATAGTGGAAAAAGATGGGAGCTGAGACTGATAAAGTTAGGTTTCCCAGAAGGATGGCTTTTACTACCAGGAAATCCTAGAATTGTTTTCAGAGGGGCTTTTGGGTACTTAGTCCTTAATTGTCACTTCCAAGTGTGGTCATTTTGGAATGCTAATTGTGTAAAGTGATGATAAGACCCTAAGAACACGCGCTCACTTGAATTCCTGGAGTTAGAGATTTATCATAGACTTTCTCCTAGTCTCTGAGAAGAAAACCAGACTTCATATAAGAAGAACTGAAACACAAGAACACAGACATGTAAGAGATGTCCATGTTTAGAAGCATATGTGTGACTGTGCTATTTCAGGAATTGTTCCAATAAGAGATGTTTATAATAAGCTTGATGTGACCCAGCCAAGAAACTTAATATAACAAGGTTAAGTGAATGGTGGGAGGAGAAATTTCCATTCTATATCAGCTTGCAGTTATTAATAATCAAAGAGGTTTGCGAATGACAGACTCATGAAGCATTTACTAAATCTGAGACTTGTGGTTTGCAAATCATTTCAATTAACAGCTGCTATCATCCATCCTAGAAAGGGCAGGAAAAAGTTTTGTTATTTTATAAAATAAGTGTCACAGAGAGACTAAAAACAGTGTAATCTGACAAATATCAAATTTGCTGGTCCTATGGAAAATCATGTGCTGTCTTCCCACTGGGCTAGCTGAAGACAGGTCTCCTGGGGAAGTCTTAGTGAACAGATGTTTCTTTTTATGTTTTAACGAAGAAACCGTGGCATATAATTGTTAGTGAAGGGCTTTTTTTGGCAAAAGGAACCCTTTGTTAATCTACTCCTATCTGCATATACATATATACTTATTTTTTTACATGCTTTTGCCTTAAACCACCAAGCGGGCTCACTTAGGTGAGTCATGAAAGATTTGCTTCAAGTTCATAGTTAAGTATTGAATAATTTAAAAAAATAAACTATCTGATCTAATGCTTGAAAGTTCAATGTTCAAGAAATAACTCTTAGTAAAGGGAGAAAAATTTAGATGGCTGGTAAAGGAAAGAAAATTATGATGTCAACATAATCTTTTTTGTGTTAGAGTGGCTCAGAAGGCTTTCTAAAGAGTTTTTTAATCATGCTGATATCGAACTTTTTCTAGGGTGCTACTTTTGTGTTGTTGTTGGGTGCCGTCGAGTCGATTTTCGACTCATAGCAACCTCATGTAACAGAGTAGAACTGCCTCGTAGGGTTTTCTAGGCTGTAATCTTTATGGAAGCAGATCGCCAGGTCTTTCTCCTGTGGAGCTGCTGAGTGGGTTGAACCACCAACTAGCAGCCAAGTGCTTAACGGTTGTGCCACGAGGGCTCCTCTGTGCAAATTTTATGCCTTTTTTTGGTAATCAAATTCAGCTATTTCTTAGTGATTGAATAATATGGATATTGATAAACAGATAATGTCCTTATGTTTTTGTCTGTAAACTCCTAAGAAGTATGAAATATTGTCTATATTGTACACGCAAGGCAAACTTATTCTAACCTTAAGGCTCCTTTAGGAAACAAGCACAAATGCAGAAGATTTTTGCAAATCTCAAAGAGTGCAAATATTTTAAAGGTTAATGTCGAATTCTATAGTTACATCATTGGTGAAAATGAGAATTAACCTAACTTTAAGTCAGAAACAAATGAGACTTGTTTTAGAGATGTTGCCATGATTAGAGGCTTTTAATGATTGCTTTATGGTTTTGGATCAGGGAAATGGTTTAAAAGTGTTAATTCAAGAGCTTTTACTATAGACAACAAGGTAAGTAAGGCAATAATAATGAAAGAACTTAGATTCTATAAGCCGGAACAATGAGACATAATCCAATCAATAGAAAGGATAAAGAAATAAGATTAGTGAAATAAAACTGGTTTGGATAATCTCTTAACGTTATTCCATAACATTTAGCTAATGTGAATCCAACTGAAATTCCTATAGCAGATTTATAGTTCCACTTTTTTATTTTCTTTTTATAACCATGTATTTAGCAAAGAATATGTATGACATTATGCGTAATACATGAGTTAATAAAACCAAACTGTTGTCGCTGAGTCAATTCCAACTCATAACAACCCTATAGACAGAGTAGAGCTGCCCCATAGGGTTCCCAAGGAGCTATGGTGGATTCAAACTGCCAACCTTTTGGTTAACAACCATACCTCTTAACCATTGTGCCACCAGGGCTCCGTAGATGCCCCCCAATTTTTCCCTGTCCTCAATCCCTTGCTAGGATAACCCTCTATTATTACATGCTCTCATAGCCCCTGGCACTTCTCTTTCCTAGTGTGTATTATTTATTTTTAGGCTTTAGGGTTGCCAGATTAAGCAAATAAAAAATATAAGAAGCCCAGTGAAATTGGAATTTCAGATAAACAACAAATAATTTTTCGGTGTAAGTATATCCCATATACCATTTGGGATATACTTACACTAAAATATTAGTTGTTTATCTGAAATTCCAATTTCATTAGGCATCCTCTGTTTAACCTAGTAACTTAGTAGGCTTGCTTGATTCATATATGTGTCTCCCACAAACTACAAGTTTTAAGAGAGCGGATACTTTGTTTAGCTCATCATTTTACTCCCAGTATCCAGCACAGTGCTTAGCACTTAGTAGATGCTTAATAAATATTGGTTGAATGCCTGAAGGGATGAATGTTGCCACTGAGGTCTGGAGAATTTGAAAAACAAAAGAAGCAGTTCTTCCCAAGGAGATTTCTATAAGTGTACCATCTTTACATAATAAATATTCTATCAGATAAAACAGATAAGTAAGGGAAAATTCTTTTTTAAGAAATAGACTCCAAGAAACTGATTCTCCTAGTACAAATAACTTACAGTTTTGAATTTTGAATTAATGCTCTTTCAAAGACAGTTACTGCACAAAGCAAGTTAGACTTGAAGTGTTATGGCAGGTTACAGCTAAACTTTTCTACCCGGATCTAAAACTGAGAGAGGTTTGGGCAGAAGAGACAGAAAATATTTTCAACCCATGTGTGGAGAAAGTGGCACAAATTTTGAAATCTTCATCATCACATCTGACTTATTGAACTCTCACAGCTGTTCTGCTCTGTATTAGAAAAAGCAGAACAGGTTAATCTTGGGGGCTGTTTACTAGCTCACAGAGAATCGGTATCTTAAGTGTACTTTTTATAAGGCTTAGCTTCTAAATCTCTGAGTGGGGCTCATTTAGGTGAGTTATGAGAATTAAGCAAATATGGTAGAAGGACAAAAATGCTTTGGAAAAGAAAATATACATGGGTGTTTCATATACTAGGAACATTAATCTGGATCATCCACAGATGTCCAGAAAGCTAGGCTTTCCATTGCTGCTTGAACAGCATCCCACATCAGGGTTCGGTGATGCTGGATGAGAGAGTTTGGGAGTCTGAGGTTCCAGTTCTATAGCTTCTATTAGCCATGTGCCTCAGTATCCAACCTGTGCCTCAATTCTCTGGCTCTAGAAGAGAAAAGGAGTCCCTGGGTGGTGCAAAGGTTAGTGTGCTCAGCTGCTAAACAAAAGGTTGGAGTTTTGAGTCCACCCAGAAGTGCCTCAGAAGAAAGGTCTGTGGATGTGCTTCTGAAATAATCAGCCATTGAAAACCCTATGGAGCACAATTCTACTCTGACACACATGGGGCCCCCCATGAGTGGAAAGTGACTTGATGGCACCTAGTATAGAAGAGAAAAACAGTAAGCTCAGATTGAGAACACCGATAGATACATGACCACTCTAGTATAAGTCTCCTTACTGGACACGGGGAAGTAAGTGTGCTCTTGCTATGTAGACACCATGTTAGCTGTCGATTTAGAACAGCTGATCCTCTGCTTGTTTCGCTCAGCTGCACTGTGCTCACAAGCAAATTCTCTCCTTTCACTACCACTGTTTCACTTCTTCTTCTTCTTCCCAGTTTTTCTAATTAAGGCTGTTTTACAATTTTTGTACCTTTTACTCATTCTCTACTGGGGGACTTTTTTTTTTAAAAAAAGATCTATGATTGGAAATTTTTGTTATGGTCCAAAAAAACTCATAGCTGTCAAACTCTAATAGTTTCACTCTTTGGTTAGATTATTTTAAATTATATCACATTCAGCAAAGTCTTGGGTTTATTTCCAAATTCTGTAATTCCCATCTTTAAGAAATGAGATCGTGGTGTTTCTTTCTTTTATAAAGCTCATATATCTTTTAGTTTTATTGTGCTTTAGGTGAAAGTTTACAGCACAAATTAGTTTCTCA